CTGCCACTTCTTGCTGGCTCGGACTGTAGGTTCCCTCTGATTGGCGCCTCTTCCTTGCAGTGAGAATCATGAATATGAGACCAATACTGAGGAGCAGTAAAGAGCCACAGGCTACAGGGACAGCTACTTCAATTAGTGGGGAGGGGAAGAGAGCACCTGGAGTCCCTTTCTGTAAAAGAAATTAACGGACAAACAATGAAACTCCAGTGGTTACAACAACTTAAGTCGAAGAACCCAAAATGGTCAGATTAGAGGGAAAAAGTTTTTTAGGAAAGCAAAAAAAAAAGGCAGATCTGTACCTGAATGGAAAAGGACAAGCAAGGAACAAGTAGAGGGCTGGAGGGCACCCGCACAGGGAACCCTCCTGGTCATTCTTTAACCTCTCAGCAAAACACATTCAAACTTACTTTTTAAAATGGACTGGGGTTAATGCAAAGAACAGACAGCAACATGTTCTGAATCTTTCTTTTCAGTTCAAAACCAGTGACACTCATCACTGCCACTCTTTAACTGGCAGCTTTGGTGAAGCTGATCTCCACTGGGCTGCGTTATAAACAGAGATTTACCGATGGAACAGTTAATACCATTACAATAATTCATGCAGGGCACATGGGCAGAATTACCCCAACGAAGAAAAGAGAGGATTTACTGAGCTGGGCAGCCCACGGGCCCGGAGACAGTGAAACTCACGGGCCTGATCCGGGGGCTACAGCAGCACAGGCTGTCCCTTGCACAGCACTGGCTATGAAGGTAACGCCCGGCTGCTGGGCACAGCTAGAACAGCAGCAGTTAAGGGTCTGAGCAACACTGCGGACGGTATTGGACGAGGTGAAACTGTCCAAATAATATCATGCTCCATATTCTCTACTTACGGGTTTTCACACCAGGGCAGCCCCTTAAGATTTAAATGCTGGTACATTCAGCATCCACAGTGGAAATCTTTTCAAGGGCCTCCTTACCAACATCGAACATAGGTGTCACTAGGAAACATCTAACCAGTGTGGCAAAAAAAAATTAAAAATTTATAACTATAAAGTTAATGCAGAGTAATGTCAGATCTTGGGAGAAGGAGGTATAGCAACTTTCAGGCTTCACAAATCTCCAAGCCAGAGGAAAGACCAGGATACAAAACCAAGACCTGACGTACCTTGCAGGAACTTTATGAAATCCTAGGGCAAAAGGTTTTAAATAATTTATATAGGGAATGGTGAGAACTAGGTCCATTGAATTCATAGCTCATAACTTTTGAATCACAAAGGCACGGCCTTTAATGCCCACATGATACAAACATGCTGAGGAACAGACTTGGAGACAACTTGCAGCAGGAGTGGGAGGATGTTAAAAAGGTCAGTACATGGATGGGAGATGGAGACAATAAAAGGCCCGAGTACTGAGGAGAGAAACGTAGCCCAATGAGTATTCTTTTGATTCTGGTGGAATTAAGGCTGGTACGGAAGACAACAAAGCACTAAAAAAATTGTGGCATTTTTCTCATTAAAGAAAGCTTGACAATTACAATAAGCCTAAAAATAAGAAATATTTCTTATTGCTAACAATAGTATCTGCCACCTTACAGATAAAAAAAAAAAACAACAATCCAAGGGTGAGTCTTTACAGCTTTTGGAGGCCACAGGAATGTCACAGAGCAACACAGGACAGAAGGAACATTCCCAGAGTACCTGGAAGTCCTTCTGCCATTTCCAAACGACCGAAGTTCAAGGTGACTCTCTGAGCCTGCCCAAAGCCAAGCGATGTGCCAGGGGTTAGTTCTAGTGTCGCACAGCATGCAGATTAGTCGCACGGTACCAACGCTACAGGAGTTCGGAGCGGTCCAGCCCGCTGCCTGCTCTGCGCTTGCTGCTGTTGGCGGGCGGGAGCAAGAGCAGGGGAGCGGCGCTGACACCCCTCCGCCACCCGAACAGCACAGCCCCCCGCCCTGCCCCGCCCGCCGCAGGCCCCGGCCGGCTAAGAGGGAAGAGACAGACAGTTCTGCAGAAAGTCACGGGGACGATGCAGGTGAATACAAGGAACCTACAAGAAGTGCCCTGGGACAGAGGAGACAGAGCTGCCCGAAGGAGCCTACACATGCAAACTGGGGGTGCCAGCAGCGACCTCGCGGCCCAGGCGTTGCAGAGCCCTTAGTAACAGCAACAGCAGCAAACCCCGCCGTGGGGCACAGCCTTTTCCATGCAGTGTGGGTTAGTACATTCCCAGGTTACCAGACAAGCTACCTGTCCATGCAGCAGCTTTACAGAGAAAAAGCAAGTGTGTGATTTAAAACTCCCACCCAGGGAGGAGTTCAGCCTCAAACTGCGATGCTTCGCTCACGCAGAAAAGGAAAAGCATCGCGGAGACTGCCCCGCCACCCGGTCAGGAGCAGGCTCAGCAGATAAAGGATGCTACTGTTTTACTGGCACCTGAATCACCTTCAGCCTGCCTTCATCTGACTCCCCTTTCTCCAAACACATCCATTTCTACCCAGATGCTCTTTGGAGAGGGAAGGGGCTTTGTAACTCTCATCCAAGACAAAATGCCGGCTGAAATTCCTTTCTCCAGCAAACTGGGGCGGTGGGAGATAGAATTATCTCCTTTCTCCAGGCCCAACTGCAGTTGTTTGTCCAAGGAGTCATAAAATCTACGGGAAGTTGCAGAAACCGCCCTAAAAACCATCTGGCAGCCCACGCAGATACTGAAAAGTATCTGCTGCAGTTGCGTATATGCCGGAGACTGACACGCAACAGCACTGCAAAGGAAAAACAATTTCCCACTTCAGGTTTCTTTGGTGCCAGCTGATCTCCTGGGTGCTTACCAGCGTGCTTTAGCCCGGACATGCAGGGGACTGTGCCACCCGTGGCCAGGCTCACTAACACCCCGGTACCCACAGGCTCTGCCGAGCCCGTCTGCCGCTCCCCGAACGCGCGGGCGGGAAGAAGGGACAGTGCTTACGTTAATGTCACAGCGCTCTCCCGTGTAGCTGGCGCTGCACAAACACTCGTATTTGTTCTCCGAGTCCTGACACGTACCTCCGTTCTGGCAAGGGTTCGGATCACACTCGTTTATTTTAATTTGACAACTGGAAAGGAAAAGTGCATTAGCATTAAATGAAATTTCTCACCTATGTTCTTGCGCCATATAACACAAGATCATACACCTACAAAAGCCTCATTTATTTGAAAAGCTCCTGTTGCATCTGTTTCAAGCGCTTTCTCCAGGGCCCAACAACATGAAATTTTTACCCATTCGTACCAATCCTCCTTTTGTCATGTCTGTGTGACTGAAGCCACTACGGGTCTCCAGCACAGTTAATGAATTCTCATGAGGCACAAGCACTACGTGGAAGCAGGTCATGCTGCAAAAATTGGTATTGTCAGCAGGATCTCATCAAGCCTGCCTCTTCTAAAAATAACAGCTAGTTTACAGTTTTGGAGCAGTTGTTTGAATGGCAAAAGGAAAAAGAAGAGGATGAAGCACTGGAACCTGCTCAGCGATCCCGCTGATGTACGAATCGGAGCAGCAGCTCCTTTGCAGGCACCACAAAACCAGCACTTACTTCCTTCCAGTGAAGCCCGGCTTGCAAGTGCAGTTGGCTCCCCAGGACTCCGTGACGCACTTGCCACCGTTCAGACAGGTGAAGTTCTTGCCACACTGCTGAGGGGGGAACGGCCACCTGGGACAAGCGAGAGGCAACCCTTCAGGCAACCGGGTTTGGGGGAAGGTGAAAGTGTACTTGGGCTCTGTGGGACGGGGCTGGCGAGGGTCATAGTCACAGAAATCGGTATTTCTAGGAAGGAGTTTGACACAAGTCAAGAAGGGAATGGTCTCAGAAACCATCCGTAACATCAGGGTGTTACTCTGACATGCCCAGAGAACAGGCAGGAGCGGCATCAGGACTAGGACTTTTCTGACATAGTTACCTATTCTTGCTGGTGAAAAAACAGGACGCTGTTGGAACACCCACGTGCAGCACAGTGAGGCCACAAAAAGGGTAACGCAAGCACGAGACCACTGTCTACGCCAGACTCAAGCACGAACAACAGGAAATTCAGCCTGGGCAGATGAGATAACTGAAGCTCCAGCACGTAAGTATTCATCTCCGTGTCCCATTTCAGCAGGCACAGGTAGGCCAAAGTCTAAGCAACATGTTGAGTCCTGCTTCCTTTACTGACATGAGACATACCTCTGTGACTAAAACATGCTGGATTTTTTCCAAACTAATACAAATGCTATAAATATGGGCCTTACAAAAAAAAAACAAAACAAAACCAAAACCAAAACCAAACCACAGCCCTCTTCCTGACTCCATGCCAATTTCCCACCAAATTTTACGTGAGCTCCATGGAGGGATCATGAAATGTGCACCGCTAAGCAGGACAGGCAGTAAGGTGACAGGTAAAGACACTTTTTTCTCCCAGTATGCATTTGATAAGGAGCACGATACTCAAATAGACATTTCTTTTAACCAATACACAGAAACAATGCCCTTAGACTTAGACCAATGCCACAAAACCAAGCTCCTCATTGAAAGAATGCTGTTAATCAGTCTAGGAGCGCATATGTATTTTTAGCTAATATTACAAGAGAATATTTGTCAGGGCAAGGCTTGGTTTTGCTGAGGTAGCAGCAATGGACCCCTTCATTAGCGCTGGCAGTGGCCTCCTCACAGGCAGGCCAGTACTGCTTGAAAGCCGGCTGTGTACCACTAGTAGCAAAACCCACCAGGTCGGAACTCCTGCTACAGGTAACCTCGACAAGGCCAGTGCCAAAGGCTGATCAAAGCCAGCATTCTCAGCAGAGAATGTCCCTCTTCTGCACTCTGCCCAGGAACCCATCCGCACTGGGACCTTTTTCTGCTGCTCCACGATGTTCAGTGCACCTGAAACTTTAGCATACAGCCTGTTCCATACAGGGGACTGGGAGGGTGCTCATAAGCAGAGGTTTTTTAGTTTGTTCTGTTTTGGTTTAAATCAATACAGGAATATGCCAGAGGGGCGTCAGATCCTGGAGAAGATAGTTGTCTTGGGGAAAGAATAGGGCAGTGACAACAGGCTACAGTACTTAAACAGCTCTGAAATGTAGCACGGGGATAACCCACACAAAAAGGAAGGTTCCTTGTCCTCTGTGAGGCTGAGCACCCTTCAGCGAGGATTCAGACCTGGACAGCACCTTCCAATTCACAGCAGAATTTGGGTGCTTTACCTACCAGATACTTGCAATGAAAAATTTTCCCAAAATGTCCCAAAGTAAAAGTCCAATTTATCTGGGGGCTCCTCTGACCCCTGCATCAAACCAACCAAGGCACTTACTCGCAGCGAGGTCCCGAATACTGAGGAGGGCACTTGCAGGAGTAGCCATAAACCCCATCAACGCAGGTGGCTCCGTTTAGGCACTGGTGCCGCACACAGTCATCGACGTTGATGTCACACTTCTTCCCAATGAACCCCCGGAAGCATTCACACTGGAAATCTGCCACTGCATCCACACAGTCCCCGTGAACGCACGGGCTTGACTGGCAGTCGTCGATGTTGGCCTCGCAGAGCAGCCCCCCCCAGCCAGCGCTGCAGGCGCAGCTGAAGGAATCGAACAAGTCCTCGCAGGTGCCGGCATTGAGGCAAGGGCTGGAAGCGCAGACATCAGCCCCCGAGCAGCCCAGCTGGACGGGCCTCCCGCTGCGCGGCTGGAACTGCTCTGGCTGGGGGTACGGGAGACGGGCAGTGAACGGCAGGTAGATCCCCCCTATCTTCACTTGCCCGAGGCAGCCCGTGAAATTCTCGGCGAGCACAATCAGGGCGTTGTTCTTGAGGAAGTCCAAGTTCCCAGCGCTTCCCTGCAGGGTCCTGTTAACAGCCCCATCCACACGAACCAGCCACCTGGAAGAAAGTGCAGATGGCTCTTCCATAGACACAGAGATGGTGTGCCAGGCACCGTCCGTGACGGGCTTCTGACTCAGGAAGCTGACACCTTCGATGCTGTTCCCACTCCTGATGTCCACAAGCAGGGAGGAGTTCTTAATGGCTATCTGGAGGGAGTCCACGTCTTCCACAGCCCGAAGCAAAACAGCATCTTCATCCCTGGTTCTGAAATCCACGTGGAGGCTGCTCAGAGTCCTAGTCACTGATGTGTTGGTGGTGAATTCAATGGCACCGTAACTATTAAATGTTGCATTAGCCAGACCTAGAAATAAAGGGGTAGAGCACAGGGGATTTGAAAGACAATTGGTGTCATGTTTGCAACAGACCAATGGCAAACTCCTGGCAGGTTCTCTCGCTTAAGAATCATGGAAGCTTAGCGTGAGCAGGATTACAGGCCTAGCTGCTGGCATCCTTAAAGCTCTTCCTGTTTACAATTGCTCCTCTAATAATAATATCCAGCTCTTGTGTAGCAATTTCTACTCTTCCGTCTCACAGCACCGCACAAAAATACAACTATTCCCCTTTTCCTGCTAGAAGAACTAGAACCTAAGTCAAGGAAGTAATACACCCAAAGCTGCTGAGGCAGCCAGTGGCAGAGCTGAGAACAGCCCAACATCCTGAGTTCCAGGCCACTTTCTAGCCACCAAACAACACTCCCTCCACATCAGGGCATCGTCAGCTAACTAGTTTTCTTCATTCTCCGTGGTTCTGTCTTAGGGGAAAACTGAGACACCTTTGCCGTGCTTCATTAGGTCCCACCTGGTGAAATAACCTGAGACTCTAGAAATGGCTGAACATCACAGGGCGCAGGATGGTCCTTGCGCCGCAAGGGTACCCTGGAAAGGCAATCACTCCACACAAGTGGATAGGTTCCTCCCTGATCAAGTCCAAGCAACAGAAGAAAGCACCTTTGAGTACCATCTCTTCTCTGTCACAGCCTGGTGGGAAACCCACAACGTGCAGGCTGCCTGCAAGGGTGTGCCCCCGGGCCTTGTTCCGTTCTCCTTCTGCAGCCCGTGTTTGTATCGATGGCACCAGTACAGACTAGGAATGCTGATGACAGGGAACAGCAGCGATTTCACCAACACACAAGTGGGAGAACAGCACTTACACACATATCCTGCTGGAACATCTATACAGGTGGTAGCTTCAGGACAGGGGTCACTTTCACACCAGACTCTCTCTTCACAAAATTTCCCAGTGAAATTTGCTGGACAGCTGCAACGGAAATCATTCCAAGTGACAATGCATCTGCCACCATTCTGACATGGTTCAGACTGAAAAACAAAATAGCAGAATTTAGGAGCAGCGTAATTCATCTTTGGATCTAAGAGAATTTGGTAGAAGGAAACGCGACAACCAAGATCAGTACGAGCAGCGCTTGAATCAAGAAAGGAGGGTAATTAAAACAGGGCCTCAGCTGCAGTGAGGGAAGCACAAGGGTCTCTGTACAAGAAACTGCTGAGACCCCGCCCCTCCCTGTGTGCACCGCTGGTCAACAGGAACTCCCCAGGCAGAGCTCCACCAATTTGGAAAAGAACAAAGCACAACAGCAAAGGTAAGAAAGAGATGAAATAAGCTGCAAAGCTCCTGAAAACCTCGCAAAGTTCTGTCATGAGAAGGACCCACCTAATACCAGGGGTGTGACAATACAGCACCATGAGCAAGAAGGGCAAAATTAGGGAGTATGGCCTCCCCACCTTCACGGGTGGCACAGAGGAGAGACAGCTTCTGGTCTAAGGGCACCGTGGAGACAGCTCCTTACACTGTCCTTGCTGAAGGGATGAATTCCTGGGGAAGAGGTTGCTGTGCAACGGGAACAGGACAAAGGGAGGAGCTGGCAAGGTTACTGGTTGGAGGGGGGAGTCTGGAAAGCATGTGGGCTCAGAAAAAAGGGAGGTGGGCAGCACAGAGCAGGACTGCCCAAGTTCTACAAACTACAAAACCTACGTGGGAGCTGTTAGAGAAAACTTGGTGCTTAAATCGTAGGTGGTATGTGGAGTGAAGTAGGAGCGGATGGGACCATGTGTCCTTCAATACTTAAAAAAACCTCTCTCCTCTTCCCGCTATCAGCAACAGTCACACTGTTCTGTACTCGCAGAACTACAACAAACAGCTGCACACACGTAGAGCTAAAGGACAGACATCATACCTTGCAGGTGTTATCAGAGATGCAACCGTTCACGAGGTTACCGTTTTGAGTCCTATTGAGTTCCTGTGGCAGGCTGTAGTTCTCAGCCTGAAAAAACTGTATTTGGTGGCTGTCCAGTTGGATGTCTTGCAAACAGCCTTTGAAATAGCCTCCCCACCTATCAGCGCTGTCTGGGTTAGGATGTCCACCAATATACACTTCATAACCAGCTAAAAGAGGTCTTGCTACAAGCTGTCCTAGCTCCAGGTATGTGTCTGATAGGTGAGCACCAACAATTCCCCCCTGGAAAGAGAGAGCTACCAAATGTCTTCTCCCATCAACTAAACTTTCTGGAAGGGTCACAGCATCTGTCGATACCATCTCTATCTTCAGCTTGCCATTCTGCAAGTACATGGTGAGGCAGGGGTCAGTTTCGTTGCTGATTTGCAACAGCAAACCGTTGGGTTTCCGACTACGAATGAAAAAGGAGATGTTGAAGTTCGCACCAAGGCTATCGGAAAGGGTGAAAGAGGCAAAGCTGGTGGAATTCTCTAGGCCAAACGTCGCTGCTGGGCGCTCTGGAAGAGAAAAGGAACGCACATCAGCTCACTGACAAGGGGAACGCCACTGCCACAGGGATATTCTAGGCTGCAACTCCTTAAGAATGGGGCGAGACCTTTCTTCCCAACATGCTCCAGGGTAATTTTGCTCTCTCCCCACACAGGTCTGTGAAATTAAGTAGTAAGCAAATGTGTCCTTGCTTTCTCTGGAGGGCATGAATTCAAGCACCCAAGCAGCAGAAGAGGGAAATACAGGTCTAGCAGAGCCCTTGCTACCTAGCAGATTTACTCAAGGACTTCTAAGCTACAAAGTTGCTTTTAGAATTCCTAAATTTGGTAACTGTGGAACAGCTTTGTGCTTGCCATGTTCAGGGCTCAGAAGCGAAACAAAAAAATGGAAGAGTATTAATATAAGCCTTGCAGGAACAAAAAAATGCAAGTAGTTATGACTTTAACTCAAAATTGTCACAGAGCTTCCTTTAACACTTTGTGTTTTAGCTTTAAAGCAATACATTCCTATTGATCCTCAACTCAAAAGCTCAAGATCAACTTTTCACAGTAAAACAACTTCCCTGCCCTCCTGCATTCACACAGATCTGACACAAAGTCAGAGCCTCTGGCTCAACAAGGAGTGAAACACCTACGCCACAAGACTGACAATCGTTCCTGCAGGAGCAAGTGACAGAAAAAAAGCTCAGTGTGAATTTTATTCACAGAGGGTTTTGCTTTTGTTTTCTCACTGGCCAAGTAGAAAGCGCTGCCTCCAGAGCTGGCATCAATGCTTATCCAGCACCTCTGAAGCACCAACTGGCAGAGGAGCTGGCAGATGTAAACCACGTGGCACTTACCGTACGAGCAAGCTGGGCCTCCGTAAGGCCTAGAACAGTCGCACCTGAAGGTTGCCCAAAGGTCCACACAGAGCCCTTCGTGCAAGCAGGGCTGGGAGAGGCACCACTCCGTCCGGTCACAGCCCCGCTTCACTGGGGAGGACTCGCCCACAGGCAGATCCAGCGGGAGCACAGCTTCAGCGTCCACCTGGAAGTCCTCCAGGCAGCCGACGAAGCCTTGCTGGCTCTGTGTGTTGTTGGCCATGGGATCATCAGCACCTCCAACATACATGTTCAGGAAGGCATGTGGGATCAAAGCAGTGCCGTGTAGGACAGGAGAGCTCTGCAGACAGACACCTGCATCACAAGAGTCATGCCAGAGCCTGAGCTGCACAGTGCTGTGCAGAACAACTTCAACTTTATGCCACTGGCCATCATCAAGTCTCAGCCCCTCCAGGAGCAGCGTGTACCCAACATCCTCCCTCTTCAGTCCCGCATGCAGAATGCCACCAAAGAGCTCCAGGAACAAGTATTCAGCTTCATGGCCTCGGTAAAAAAGGATAGCGCTGGGCAAGGTGGTTCTGAACCGGAGGGACACGCTGGCAAGCTGATCTCCTGCTACGTCCCTCCTGCTCTGATTGTTCACGGGCAGCTCAATGAGGAGATACCCTCTGGAAGCAAAGGAAAACGTTGTTGGTGTTGAGCATGTGGCATCATAGAAACCAGGCTGGCACTGGCACACGTGGCCGTGGCTCTCAGCTTGGTAGGTTGGGATGCACAAGGCCTCATTTTGGCAGTCGTGCGTCTGGCACCCAGTGAGCTTGACAGAGCAGTTCTTCCCTCCCCAAATAACGCCATCCTGGCTAGGAGCACAGTGGCAGGTATAGTCAGCAATGCCATCCTCACAGACAGCTCCATTCTTGCAGGGACCCTCCTCACACTCATTGATGTTAACAGCACATTCCACACCTGCGAAAGAGATTTAGAAACGGGATCTCACTGCAGGGGATTGTGACTCCCTTCCCCAGAGCAAGCCTGCCAGGCACGGACCGCCCTCCCCAGCACTGCTGCCCTCTGAGCCGTTCTCTTGAGGAAACCGAAAAACCAAGAGCTGCCAGCAAGAAGCCCCACGCTCACCACAGAGCAGCCTACCACCGACATGAGAGCCAGAAGAACAGTCCTGTGTGCTGTGCTGCCAGAGGGTGCACAGAAGGTGCTGTTTATCGAGCTTTGGCCAGTCAGCTACATCATCCAACAGACTACTGTCCTCTCCCAGACAATCTCAAACACCACAGGTAATCACCAGGCAGAGGATATTAAAGGGACAAAACAGCACAGAATGGTTTTGTGCTTCTTTCATAATAGATTTGGGATGTTGAAACTCAGATTAAGTCTGTAGGTCTGACTGAAGCATGTTCCAGGCACCACTGCTGCAGACGGCATTAAAAGGGGAAGTTACTGGAAAGCCTCAGTTAAGAAAATTCAAATTCCCAGATGACCCTGGTAAAACACTCACAAAACTCAATTCCTTACCAAACCACAAACAAAACAAGCTCCACAGCCATTCTGCCATACTTGCACTAAGCTGATTTTAGTTCTGTCCAGCCCTGCAGAAGGGAACCGGGTAAAAAGTACCGCATTGCAGCTCATCTGCCTAGTCAAGGCACACATATCCCAACAGGGCTCAAGTAAATTACAAGACATTACACTCAAATCTGGTTAATGAAAATCTTCTGTCATTTTCCTGAGCATCTCCAGACTGACAGAAGAGCCCTTCTGAACCAGTTCACTTTATCTAGCCCATAACATCGGTTTTCGCTAATCTTCAGAGACAGTCACACAGATAAACCAAGCATGGATTATCCCAATCTAATAGCATTACACGCTGAATCTAGCCAGCAAGCACAACGAGGACAGCAGAAAGAAAAAGAAGGAATTCACACACAAAGGAGGGGAATCAAAACACAAAAAGACATTTGTAAAGAAAAGCCACTAGACAGAATGTGCATGTCAAAGAGATTAGAGAGTTGCCTGAG